GCCATCCCTGGAGCTCCTCAACGCCCCCAAACCCCTCGTACACTCCCGAATCCCTGATCCTGAGGTGCTGGATCTCCTTACTCCGTCTCTGCCGCAGGTTTCTCTATGAGTATGCCAGCAGCTACAGTCAGGCTCCCCTGCCTGTGCTCCTGGCCTCCACCACCACCTTCCTCTCCATGGTCTCCACCTGCTGCATCTCCCCCGCACCCACTGCCTGCTTCCTGAAGGAGGTGAGACCCTCATCCTCACTGCCCAGGGAGCCAGGCAAGCACTGTGCCGATTCCCACTTCCATCCTCTATTTGTGGCAGAAACGGGAGAGGAAAACCCTCTCCCTACTCACCCTGACGTCAAACCGGATCTGCTCCCGCTTCTCGGCATATGACAAGGACAAAGCCAGCTTCAGGTATGGGGGGAAATGGGCTCTCCATCCTGGGACAGGACTCCTCTCTCCTGCTGCAGATCCTGTTGGCAGGCAGCATTTAGGAAAACAAGCTTGAATTCTGCTGTGGATCCCTGCAGTTGCCCCGTGCACAGCACAGGCACAGAGTAATCCCTGCGCTCCCCATCCCCTCCCTCCCTTACCCTGCTCCGAGCTGATTCCTGGGAGGGGGGTCCAAGCCCCCAGCCCCACTCACCCTGTGCTCCCCAGCTCCCTGACCTCTCTGGCCCAGAAGATTCCCACTGCCTCCTTCGAGGAGCTGCTGCCCCTGGCCGAGGACGCTGCCGAGGTGGCTTGCCAGTGCTGTGACTCCATGGCCGAGGACTGCATGCAGAAGAAGGTAGGGGGGGCTGGAGCCCAGCCCGAAGCAGCTCCAGCAGGAGCTCAGGGGGCTGAGGGCTCCTGCACAGGCCCTGCTCCCTCTCTGCAGCTCCTGGAGCACACGGCCAGAGTCTGCTCGGCGCTGTCGGCGCGGGACGAGCGCTTCGCCTCCTGCTGCCAGGGGAAAAACCTGATGGAAAACCACTTCTGCATCCTGGCCTTGCCCCCAGCCCCAGCTACCAGGCTGCCAGAGCTACCAGAGCCCACCAACAAGGAGCTGTGTGCCGAGGAGGGGGCTCTCCACACCACCAGGTGAGCGGGACCCACGGCAGCCAGGGGGCAGTCACGGAATAAAACCATTTAAGCTGGAAAAGATCCCTAAAATCACCGAGTCCCACCAGTTCCTGACCCTGTTCTGTGCTTAGGTTATTATGGGGATAACCAGGGGAACATCCTCAATTCCCTCAGGGGAATTGAGTGCCACCAGAGGCTGCACAGAGATGCCAAAAGCGAGCCTCATCCCAGTCCGAGCAGCAGCCACAATGAGAACTCACCCGAGCTCTCCCGTTTCCCGCTCCAGGTTCCTGTTCGAGGTGGCCCGGAGGTATCCCAGCCTCCCCGAGGCCGTCCTCGCCAAGCTCTACGACACCTCCGGGAAACTCCGCGGGGAATGCTGCTCCTCCAAGGACCCCTCTGCCTGCTGGGACAGCAAGGTGAGTGCTGTGGGGGCTCATCCTGTTCCCCCTCATCCCAATGCCCCCCAAATCCCATCCTGGTAACTCCCCCCCTCTGCCCCCAGCGCCAGCGGATCGCGGCGGAGCTGTTCCCTTTCCTGACAAAGGCCGAGCAGCTCTGCAGGCAGTTCCACAAGCTGCCTTTCCTTGAGTTCAAGAAGAGGTGAGCCTTTCCCTTCCTCCCACAAAAACCCACCCGGGTAGCTGGATGCAATCAGAATCCGTCCATAATGCTGAGGATGCCGAACCGGGATGCAGCAGGAGCCGCGTGGCTCCGCTTCCCGCTGTAACCGCGCTCCCCATGGCAGGCTGCGGGACAGTCTGGCCCAGTCCGAGCCCAGCTCGGCGCCGCTGGAGCAGCTCCTGGAGCAGCGAGCATCCTTCGCCTCCTCCTGCTGCCTGCCGGACGCTCCGCCGCTCCTCTGCGCTTCCAAGGTAGGCCCGGGCCCCTCCTGCCCCCGCGGAGCCGCAGCCGCTCCGGGGCTGCCCCTCGGCTCTTCCCTCCCTCCCCAGGTCACCTCGGAGCTGGGGGAGCTGTGCCAGGGGGATTCCTGCCTGCTGGGATAGGCTGCCGGCGCAGGGATCGCTTCTCCAGGGATCGCGCACCGATGGAGCGGCGGCACGAGGCGGAGCTCGGGAACGCCGGGAACACCGAAGGGAGCATCGGGGAGCTGGGCTGGGGGACGTCCGGCAGATGGGAGGTGTCACCGAGCCCACAGCTTGTGTTCCTGCAGCCAAAATAAAATCAAAAGTGCCCTGCAGCGTGGCTGGAAAGGCTTTGTGCACCCTCGGGCCGTGGAGAGGGTGGGAGAGGGGTCCAGATTCGCCTCTGCAGGCAGGAACAGGTCCCAGCCCTGATCCTGGGAGATAAAGCTCCAAAAAACTAAGGAAAACCAGGGAAAAGTCTCATCAAATGCCCCTAAAGACAGCAATCTCTGGGTATTGGGGTATCCAGCTACGTGGAAGGATCAGCACCCAGAGAGGGGCACCCTGGGCACCCCCAGACTCCCACCTGCCCAGCTGAGCCCTCCCCAGCACAGGGGGCGGATTTTGGGGGTGCTGCAGGCAAAGAAGCCCCGGGTTGGGATGCAGGAGGATGGCCAAGCCAGCCCAGGAAAGCAGGAAAATCCCCCGAGGGCAGATGTGGCAGATTTGTGTGCAACAAAGGGAAGGACAAGGGGACACCTGGTGTGCAGAGATGAGCCAGAGCGATAAACCAGAGCCAAACCCAGGAAGAACTCCCCGTTCAAGGCAGCTTGTCCCTTTTCTGGGGAGCACTGGCAGTCCCTGGATCACTGCTCGGTTGCCCTGGAATGTGAGAAACAAGATGGATTTGGCTGGCACCATCCCTGTCCACCTCCTGCCAGGGCCCCTCTTATCGTGGGATACAGACCTGGGCAGAAAGGAGAAACTGCTTTTAGTTTGGTTTGGTTTTGGCTTTTACTTTTTTCCCCAAGGATCCCACTGGCCTGGGACAGTGCCTGCTGATGCCAAGGCACTGGATCCACCCACCACCCTCATGTCACAGCCCTTGGCATCTGTTTTCCAAAATATTAATTGCTAATTATTTCTAATTCTTTCCAATTAATAAGTTGGGTTTCACCTTGTTCTGTTGGGGTGGGTGACCCACACCTCATTCCTGTGCTCAGGTTTGCATCCTTCACACTCCAGATGTGCAGGGTAAGGGCTGGCAATTCCAGTGACCCTCTGGGATTCCAAGGAAAACTGGGGAAATGCCATGAAGCCAGCCAAGGATATCTCTGCCAGGTGACACCATCACTGCTTATGGGGGAAAAAGCCACCCAAAAATACTCAGCTGCTGTTCAAAACAACACAAATAATAATCCTCTTACCAAAACCACCAGATTCCTTGGAAAGTTCAGGCTGCTCCTGCCTGATGCCAGCCAGCATCACCTCCCCAGGGATTCCATCCAGTCCTTGCCAGCCTGGGCATAAACCAGTTGGCTTTCCCACTCTGTGTTCTAGCTGGGATTTATATTTGGGGTTTTTATAGCAATTTTCTTTCCCAGCTCTCATTCCTCCTGCCCTTAGCCCGGCGACACAAGGTGGATTCACCGCCTGCCTTTTCATCCCACCACCTCCCTAACCCATTCCCAAAAATGTAAAGGAAGTAGCAAAGTTCCTGACTTAGTTGTGTGGTTTTTATTTTAAATTCCCAGCCTCAGTGCTCAGCACAACACATCCTGTCCAGTCAGTCTGCTCTCCAGGAACTCATCAGGTTAAAGCAGGAATTCGGTGGCAATGCAGGAATTCCAGGGTGGCATCCAGGGAAGCATCACTTCACTACAACCAGGAAATGTGGGGCTGCCATGGGAAAAGCCCAGTGAGGATTACCTAAAGCACTGAATAAAACAGCTCCAACATTCACCTGGCCAGCGCTCCATGAAGCCTTACAAACAAACCTGAAAGTGTTTTATCCACCTCTGAGACCTGCAGGGCTGCTGACTTCCCAGAGCCTGCTTTTCCCAGCCCTTTTGGGCCTGCAGCAGCCCAGCCATCAGCTCCAACCCCCCAAAAAACAGACAGGAAAAAGTCTCATACCTTCTTTTCATTTTATTGGTCTCCCAGACTGTGAACAGCACATTCCCAAAGCAGCAGCAAGCAGTTTTCCTCTTGGCTTGGCTCCCCCCAGGCAGGCCCAGCAAAGCCCGGGGATAAAGAGCCTTTTACAGGAGGGGGAGAGATGAGCTCACATCAGCGCCTCCGGCAGCTGCGTGGAATTGAGGATCCACCTCCCTACCCTGGACCCTGCTGAAGCAGGCGCCCAAAACGATGTCCCCTGGCACCTCAGGGCCGTGCTCCTTGCCTGGGCACGGGGATGAGCCATCCACAGCCCCGTGGCATCGCCTGGGCACCAACACCTCCCCAGGGACTGGCGCCGCCGGGGTGGTCACCGGGCCCCGGTTGGAGCGGGAGCCGCTCCCGTGCCGGGAATTGGGAGCTGCCGGGGCCCCGCTGCTCCACCGCGTCCCCACCTCCGGCGGTACCGCCTGGGTGGCGCCAGGGACACCCGGTCCCATCCCGGGATGCCGATGGGGTCCCCCCGCCGAGGGTCGGTGCCCAAACCCACAGCCGGGGACACGGGCACCCCAGCGGGCACGCCGCGGTTGTGGCGCCCTCGCGTGGCCACTGCGGGCACTGCAGGCGGGCCGCCCCCGCCCCAGCTCAGTGTCGCCGTCTGGAGGCCGCGGTGAGGCAGCGCAGCCCCCGGTGCCTGCCTGGGCAGGGTCCGGACCGCGGCTCCGGACACCGCAGCCCTCAGCGCGGGGCTACGGGAGCCAACGGCCCCCGCTCACCCAGTTCTGCCCCGGTTCTCACCTGTTTTCCACCGGTTTTGCCCGGTTTCCCTCACCCGCTCCCTCCCCTCTCCCGCCGGCTGTCGGGAACCGGGAGGGCGCCCGGGGACGCTGAGCTCGGCTCGGCCCCTGCGGGGAGGCGCGGTAGCAATGGGAGCAGCTCCAGCACAGCCTCCAGGCCGCCCAGGACGGGACCCGAACCCGGCAGAGCCCCTTGGACCGGGAGCAGGACCGGGACCGGGATCGGGGCGGAGGCCCCGCGGTTGTGTCGCCCTCGCGTGGCCACTGCGGGCACTGCAGGCGGGCCGCCCCCGCCCCAGCTCAGTGTCGCCGTCTGGAGGCCGCGGTGAGGCAGCGCAGTCCCCGCGCCCCAAGGACATCGGCGACACCACTGGGGACAACTTTCCGTCACCCCTTTATTCAAGCCGCCGCACGCTTTAGCCCTCGCCCATGCAGCCAGCCGCTGCTGCCGTCCGGGACCCGCCCGCAGGTACCGGGAGCTCCTGCGGAGAGAGCGGAGCCCGTCGGTCTCAGCATCCACCCCAACGAGGGGGTCCGGTCACACCGGCTCGGTCGCCCCCCCGCTCCCCTGCACCTTCATGCGATGCCCGTTTCCCGCACATCTTCACTTCTGGAAGGTCCTTCCTTGTTTAGCGTTTCCATCTCTTCTGCCTTCCTCTTCCTACGCTGCCTCCGACAGTGGCTTGACAGGAGGGGGAAAATCATAAAAACCAAACAAACAAACAAAAAAGAGGCAGAAGGGGACATGGCAGCGATGCTCCTCCCTCTCCCTCGGCTTTTACCCTGCAGAGGATGCCCAGGGGATCACACACCTGCTTTCTAGCCCCAAAGGAATGTCTCAGGCACCTCCCAGCACCTGCAGGACCAGGTCCCACCAGCCTGGGACAGCCCCAGTTCAGCCTGCCCGAAGCCAGGGAGCCGGGCAGGATTTACTCCCCCTTCCCTTTCCCTTTCCCTTCCCGCCCCATTCCCCCACGTACTGGCTGCAGAGGCAGATGCCAACGACGAGGATGATGAGGGCGGCGATGGCGACGATCAGGGAGATGATGACGATCTGGCCCTGGTCCCCTCGCAGGTAGAACAGATCCACCCTCTCGCAGCGAGCCCCGGTGTAGCCCCGCTCGCACCTGCCCGGGCACAGGGGAGGCACAGGGCGGTCCCGAAAGCTGCCGCGCTGCCCATGCCCCCCTCACGCCGCTTTCCCGGGGGGACGGGCGCATCATCCCGCGCCGCGTCGCCGTGTCCCCACAGCGGGTGACTTACACACAAGCGGGGGCCTGCTCGGCCACGAGGAAGCGGCACCTGCCCTTGACACAGTAGTGCTGGTACTCCTCCGGGCACCGCGAGAAGTGGCCCTGCCGCCGCGGCTGCGTGCCGTTCCCTGCGGTGACAAGGGCGGAGAGCGGCCCCAGAGGGGTGACAGCTCTGCCCAGAGGCAGCAGCGCCCCTGAGCCGCCGCATCCCCGCAGCAGCTCCGAGCCCGCCCGGCCGCGGCCAGCGGGGGTGGCACGGGTGTCCTTGGCGCGGCGATGCCACACGGCCACGCTAGACACAACATCTGCTCGTCCGCCATCCTGGCCCTCCCTCCCGCTCCCTTCCACGGCCTCGGGCTGCCCCCGGCACGCCCTTACCTGTGCATGCCTTGGCTGTGCCGCAGCTGAGCCCCTCCGTGCCGTGCCCGGCCGTGACGTTGGTATCGGCGCCCACGCAGCTGAAGAGTGCCAAGCCTGGAGGGCAGCGGAGGCAGCTCAGAGGGGGACCCGCAGCACCCCCAGAGGCACAGGGGGGGCGCTGGCAGCGGGCTCTACAGCTGGGCCAGCGGCCCCCCTGCGCTGGCGGCATCAGCTTTTCCCCAGGGCCGGGAGTAGGGAGAGCCGCTCCCGCCCGCTGCCCCCACCCAGCAACGCCCGGCGCGGAGCTCTGCGAGCCAGCCCGGTGGGTCCTGGACCACACAGCCCGGCCAGCTGCTGCTCTGCCCGGGGAGGATGCAGGGAGGGATCCCCAGGGAGATCAGGGCTCGTGGAATCACTGATGGATTTGGGCCGGAAGGGGCTGTAAAGTTCATCCAACCCTGCTGCCACGGTCCGGGACACCTTCCACTAGCCCAGGCTGCTCCAAGCCGTGTCCAACCTGCCCTTGGACGCTTCCAGGGATGGAGCAGCCACAGCTTCCCTGGGCAACCTGTGCCAAGGCTCCGCACCCTCCCAGGGAAGAATTCCTTCCCAGTATCTAATCTAACCCTGCCCTTTGTCAGTGCGGAGCCCTTCCCCTTTGTCCTGTCGCTCCGTGCCCTTGTCACGAGTCCCTTTGCAGCTCCCTTGGCGCCCCTTTAGGCGCCGCGAGGTGCTCCGAGGTCTGCCCGGAGCCCCGCACAGCCTGGGAAAGCGGAACGGGGGGAACGGGGGGAACGGGGGGAACGGGGCCACCGCGCTCTCCCCGTGGCCCCGCGGGTGAAACCGAGCCGGGCGCGTCGGAGCGGCGGTAACCGGATCGCTGGCATACCAGCCTGACTCAGCACGGCCCCGCTCCCGCCCGGCCCTCCCCGGGGATTCACCGGCCGAGGCGGCGCCCAGGGAGCGGGGACAGGTCCTGCCTGACGGGCAGGACCCGGGTGGTTCCCGCGGAGGTGGCTCCGAGGCGGGGCTGCGCCATCCCGCGTGGGGACACTTGGAGGCTTCCCAGGGAGCGGAGAGTTCGCACAGCCAGATCCTGCAGCCTGGCCTCCCGCTCCCCGTGTCCTCATCCGGCACCTTGGCAACAGCGGCGGGAGCTGCCCCGAGGCTCCGGGTCCCCCCCGTCCCGCAGCGGGGACATTCCCGGCGCGCACGTCCCTCCCGGCTATATATAGCCAGCGCCGCCCGCCCCGAGAGAGCCCGGCGAGGAAAGGGAGCCCACCGCCCCACCCAGAGGGTGGGAGCTGCCTGCCCAGAGCCAGGGATGAGCCATGGGGCGGCTGCAGCCCGGGATGCAGCTGTGGGCGGCGTGGGCACAGCCGGGACAGGCAGGGAGGGAGGCTGACTTCACTCGCGGTGACCGAGTTCACAGCTCGGCATGGAAAGATCCCCACCAAGCCGAGCTCCCCACCCTTATTGCATCCAGATGCGGAGTGCCAGAACTGGCTGGCAGCCCCTCGGCAGTGCCAGCCCGGGGGAGGGGCTGTGCCCACCCACGGCCCCGGGGGCTGCAGGTGCCAGCACCCTCAGCTCCCCGATGCTCCGGCTGCGCTATCTCGGGCTGCAGCCTCTCCCGAGCAGGCAGAGATAACCCAGGGAAGCATCCCAAGCGCTGGATTGTTTTGCTGTTGCCACCCCCACGCTCTCCCGGGAAAGCCCAGAGCGCAGGGGAGCAGCCAGCCAGGACGGGCCGTGCTCTGAGGGGACACAGCGGCCCCAAACCAGGTCGGCCACCCTCGGCTTCCTCCCGCCAGCACAGGTTCGGCAGGTTTGGCCAAGCGCTGTCACCAGCCCTGCCAAAGGGCCAAACCCAAGCTGCTCCCTGCGGAGAGAAAGGCTCCCCGAAATCCCAGTGCCGGGCAGGATTCCCTGCCAGGGAGGGTCTCAGCTCCCCAGCCTGGCTGTGGTTATTTCCTGGCAGCCATCAGCACACACCTGTCTGCAGCTGCCTGCTTCCCCAAAACTTAGGAACTAACCCGGGAATTAATGCTCACACACTTGTGGAAGAGGTACTGCCTCCCTGCCCCGCATCCCACATTCCCAGCGCTGCCAAGGATGGCCGCAGGCACTCGGGCACCCGTCAGCAGCGTCCCTTCAACAGGTAGCAAAAGCATCCCGCTCCTGCTCCAGGATCCAGCCAGGACATCCCGGCCCCCACGCTGGCCCCAAGGGATTCAGGGATTCAGAGGCATTAAGGGAGCACTGGATTGGAACGGTGGGGAGATCCAGGATGGGACCTGGGGGCACAGGGGGAGGCCAGGGACAGGACTGGGCATAGAGGAATGGCTGGCATGGATGGGATTGTCCAGGGGGGCACAGGGAGCCACTGGGATGGGACGGGGCCAGCTCCAGGACGGGGTGTAAGAGGCGGGAACGCAAGGGTGCAGCAGCAAGGGACCCGGGGAGCAGCAGGATGGGATGGGGGAGCACCGGGACAGGCGGGGGAGCACCGGGATGGCACCGGGAGGCAGGTGCAGGATCGTCAGTCCGGGAGCGGGAAGCGGCGGCACCAGAGAGGGACAGTGCCGGGACAGGGGGTGGCACCGGGCTGGGACGCGGAGCGCCGTGCAGGGGCGGGAAGCACGGGGCCGGGACGGGCAGGAGCAGCCTGCCAGCCGCTGGGTATCCCGGGGCGGGCAGGTGGCGGGGCGGGGGGACGCCGGTGCTTACCGGAGGCGAGGGCCAGGCAGAGCAGCAGGGTACCGGGGCCGCCGCCCGGGGTCGGGGCCGCCGCCGCCTCCATGCGCGCCGCCGCCGCCTGCCCGGTGCCCGGTGCCCCGCAGCTGCGGCGGGGCGGGACGGGGGCGGCCGCTCGGGCACCGCCGCCCTCCTCCTCCTCCTCCTCCTCCTCCTCCTCCTCCTCCTCCTGCTGCGCCTCCTCCTCCTCCAGCTGCGCGGCTCCCAGCTCCCTTTGCCGGAGCCATCCCTCGGCCGTGCCGGTGTCCCCTCCCCGGTGTCCCCTCCCGGGTGTCGCACCCACGCGTGTCCCACCTCGTCCTGCCAGGAGACGCCTCGCCGCGGGTCCCTGGGGATTTGGGCAGCCGGAGGGATCCCCCATCCTGCCCGGCTTCCAGGCGGGGCTCTGGGCATCCCCTCTCCAGGCGGACAGAGCGTCCCAGTCCAGCCCCGCCTCCCCAGAGCATTTATCCGTGGCCAGCTTGCTGTGGCAAGGGGATCAATTCACCCTCCCAGGGGCCCTGGCGGGCAAGGACGGCCGCCCCAATTACTCTGCGAGGGGCTGTGCCTTCTCAAAATACACTTCGAGGTGTCATTTTCCCCTCGGGGCGTGCTGGGAGGGCATTCCCGCTCCCCGAGTGACATCCTGGGAACAGAGGAGACCCACAGGGGTGAAGGCAGGGATGCTCCGGCGCTGTCCCGGCTCCCGGCGGGGCTCGGGGGCTCTCCCGGCAGAGAGGGGCGGGGAGCGGCCGCGGAGCCCCCGGGCGCCGATGGAGGTGGAAATGAAAGACTGGAAAGAACGGGTGACCTCAAGCCGCAAGCTGGCAGCTATTAATGTGAGTGCTGGCAGCCGCCCAGCCATGCCATTTGGCCGCTGACCAGCGGGTGAGCAAGCTCCCCTAGCCCTGGCCAGCCAGAAATTCCTGCTGCAGGCTCCGGCACACCGGGACCGCCGGGCCCTCGGCTCCCGGCCAGGCCGGCTCCCTGCCAGCGCCCCCCAAAAACAGGCAAAGCGTCGGAAACCACCAGGATGGCGCAAAAGCTCTGCTGGGGGCTTGGGCAAGACCAGCAAAACTGGCAGCTGGCACAGGATGTGGCACAGGGCACCCAAGAGGAGCTGGCTTCATCCCAGTGGGGTGGGCAAAAAAAAAAAATTTAAAAATCCTCATGACCACTAAAAGAAAAATTTCCCTTCATATCTGGATAAAACTGTTGGGGGAAAGGCACTTCAAAGAGATTTTAAAGGGCTGCAGCCTCGGGGAAGATGGTACGAGCAGCAATGGGAAAGAGATGGCCAAAGTTATCCCCAAAAAAGGATCTCTCGCCGCTCCCGGGAGGCCGTGCCGGAGGAGCAGCCGAGCTGACCGGCAGGTGGCAGCTGGAGCCCGGGGCTGGCGGCCCTCGGGGCGCTCCGGGATGGCCGCGGCCCGGCCCGGGCCCCGCGAACGCCGCTCGCACCCGGGGCCGCGGCGAGGGGCGGCGGCTGCGCCCAGCCCCGTCCCCCAAAACACTCCTGCCCATGGAAGCACCCAAAACCAACAGGGATGCGAGAAGGGAAGCAGGGAGAGGATCACGCTGTTCCCACGGCAGCAGCAGCATTATTTTCCCTCGTCCCCAGCTCAAGGAGAGCGGAGATGCTGATAGCGCCCGTCCAGAATGGAATGCCAGCTGACTTGGATTTTGTGCCCGGCTGGTTCAGGCCCAGAGCCAGGATCCATCCTGAGAAAAGGCCACACAATACAGCAGAGCAGAGGGCTGAGCAACCCCGAGTAAAGATAGCTCGGCCACAGCCCGGGCTCTGAAAATCCTTTTCCATTGTGAGCATGCAAAAGCCTGGGGAGGATGAGTTCAGCCTGGAAATATTTCACCCGCAGCAGCACAGCTCTTCCCAGAAGGAAAGAGCTGAAAAAATGGTCCTTGTACCTCCGGCTGTGCCACAGGTGTCTGTCTCCTGGCTGGGTCCTTGGAGCACCGGGAGCTGCACTCTGGGAGCTGTTTGTACCATGGAAAGGCAGGACTCTGAGGGCCTGGCTCCTCTGGAGTCGTACCTGGCTTGGGCATCCCAAGGGAGGTCCAGAATCACGGGATCACGCAACAGCTTGGGTGGGAAGGGACCTTAAAGCTCTTTGTGTACCAACCCTGCTGCCATGGGCAGGGACACCTTCCACTAGCCCAGGCTGCTCTGACACTTGCCCAGCCTGCCCTTGAACCCTTGCAGGGACGGGACAACCACAGCTCCTCTGCACAGCCCGTGCCAGGCCATCCCCACCACACAGCCAGGAGCTGGCACAGCAGGCATCACCTCTGGGTTTGGATCATGGCGCAGGGAAGAACTTGGACACGCAGGCAAGGAACTTGGATCCCAGGCAAGAAGAGGGACAAGTACCAGCGGCACAGAGCACCCCAAGTGGGCGCCACCGGCTGGCACCGCCTGGTCCCCGGCGTGTGACACCCACGGGAGCGTGTGGCACTGGGCATCCAGCCCCGCCGCCTCATACCGGGACAGGCGCACCAGCGCAGCGCGGTCGGTCCCTGGCAGCCGGCGGTGCCCGCGCCCGCATTCCCGGCGGTGCCGGTGCCGGTGCCGGCAGGTGCCGCTGTGGGCCGGGCCGGGCCGGGGGCGGGCCGGGGGCGGGGGGCGGCGGCGGGGGCCGGGCCGGGCCGGGCGCTGCGTCCCTCCCGCCGCGGCTGCCAGCGCCGCCGGCACCATGGGCTGCTGCTGCCGCCCGCTCTTCCTCGCCCTCCTCCTCCTCCCGGCAGGTAAGCGCAGCGGGATGGGCGGCGGGGAGCGATGGGGCCGCGGGGACGGAGGAGCCCCGGGACTGCCGGGGACAGCGCGGCTCCTTCCCGGGTCCCGCCGCGGGTCCCGCTCACACCCCCGTGTGAGGGGTCACCCCCAATGACAGCGGTGCGGGAGGTGTCGCCCCTCGCCCCTCGGAGGGTGTCCCCGGCTGCCCGAAGGAGGGCGCCTGGACGAGGCCACCCGAGCGTCCCCACGGCCGCCCCCTGGCCGGGCTGGAGTCACCCCCGCCCCGCGCGTCCCTTCCCCCCGCGGCCGCTGCTTCCAGGGAATTCTGTGGCTCTCCCTGGCCTTGGGCCGAGCTCGCACTCCCCCAGCCCCTGGAGTCCCCCCCCGGCGGCACCAGCGTCCCCATGCCACAGAAATTGCCCGGTCTGGCACCTTCCCCCCGCGAGGCGCTCGGCGGGGACACTTCTGTCCCCGGCTGATGCGACAGCGAGCGCGGGTCACCCCTCCGCCCGCCCAGGCTGGGCTTTTAATAAACACGAGGAGCCGCCTGCCCGGGAACATGGAAAACACACTTGCATAACCGGGGACGCCGCGCGGGAGGAGAGCGAGATCCATCGGCGGGGATGTCGCTGTCACATCGCTGCCGGCACAGCAGCCCCAGGGAGCTCCCGGCACAGCCCGCAGGCAGCGGCAGCCGCGGGACCCCCAACCATCACCCCGGACCTCGGGAGATCCTCTCTGGATCAAGGGGAGCGGGATGGAGAATTGTCCCTGAAAAAGGGGGATTTGTCAGCGAGCTCCCGATCTGTGCTTCCCGAGATGGGGATGGGGACGAGCATTGGGATGCTGGGGATGCTCTTTCTTCTCCCTCACGGGCCCACATGTGCCCCTAGAGCAGGCGGTCCCTGCCGGGAGGCAGCCTTGGGGTCGGGGCGGGCTTTTCCCAGCGCCCCGGCCAAACCCGAAGCTGTTCCCACGACCATCCCTCTCCAAAGCTCCAACGCCAGCCAGGCTTGGCACAAGAAACAGGAAAGATTTCCCTGGACTCTGGTCCCACGTCCCTCAGGCTGCTCCCAAACAGCCCTCGAGCATCTTTCAGATGCTTTCTGTAAAAGTTTTTCCCTCACTGAAATTATTTTTTAAAAAAAGAAAAAAAAATGTGTATGTATATATATATATAATCTCACTGGGGAGGAAACACCAAGCACAATTTAAATTTGCTCCAGGCTCATTCTTCAGGAGCAAATGACAGCCAGGACGTCACTGGCCAGGAGTGAAATAATTCTGGGCTTTGCCTGGCCACGTAATGAAAGAGCAGCGTCTCACACAAGGAAGTTTTTATCCTGTTATTACTCCTTCCTCTGGATGGAAATCGAAACCTGTTTTGCTTTCCTGACCTGGTGCCCAGCCCCAGGCCCACTCTCCCCTCCTGCAGCTCCCCCTGTGCCCCAGCTAGGATGTTTTTAAGCACCTTTTAGAAGCAGATCTTGGTTCTGAGTGCTTCTTCGTGGAGGCTCTGGGCTGGAAGAGCTGCTTTTTGGGCTCTCAGAGCCTCATGGGCTGTTTAATTCTGCCACTGAGGAGGCAAATGTTCAGGCACTCTGCTCCCCCATGAGCTGGAGGGCAGGGGAGCTGGGGAATTAACCCCTCTCCCAGCCCAAATGAGCCATCAGGCTCTAATACCAGAGGATGCTCCAAAATTCCTCTGCCAAGCCCAGTTGCTTCTCCCCCTGGGAGGGGCTGGAATGGGGCTGATGCACGTTGGAAGCTGCACCTGGAAGCACTAATTAGCAGCCAGCCAGGAAAATTATAGAGCTGGGGAGTTGTCACCTGGGCAGAGCTGCTTCTTGCAAAAGTCCTGGCTGGCTCCAGAGGTATATCCAAGATATGGGAAAAAATATTTTGAGGTGTCCCCAGCAGGCAGGTCCATCTGCCAGCTCCCAGCCCCAGGAGACAGCAAAGAGCATCCCATGGGATCCCTTATTCCCCTTCCCCAGGGGAAATCAGCACAGCATAACACCTGTTGGCATGTTTCAAGAATATAACTTGAAATACCTAATGTATTTTTTACTTAAACAAGCAAGACATCATTTCAGAAGGGGCTGGAGCTGTCAGCTACTGCTTTCCACCCCAGGTCCTCATCAGATACCTCTGGCTGTACAGGCTGGCAGGTGTTTCGCCACTCTCAGGAGGAAAAAAATCACCTAAAAATTCCTCTTCACCTCCTTTTCTGCTATAATTTCATTGCAGCATCAGCATCAAGGGCTTAAGAGCTGAATAATTGAGCAACACATAGTTTGGGGGGGGGATCACTACCTTT